TTGATTTCAGCATGTGGTACGTGTCTAATAAAAGTTGAATATTATGTTCTAATAGTAACTATAGATTTTATTTGCTAACCTAGTAAGCGAAACTGGTTAAAACAAAACTATTTTTGCTAAATTAAGAACAAGTATAAAAAAGAAAAGAAACTATAGTTTTATAGTGCGAAAATCTATCTGGGAGAAGATTTCTATGACGCAATTGATTAATGGGGAACATTGATGAGACAATCTTCGGAGACTGATAAAAAGTTTGATTTACTTAAAAAAATTATATGAAATATAATAAAATATTAAGTATTTGGAAACTTGAAGGTCCCATCTGCCAAAGTTTTAAGGAGGGTTAGAGAAAGTTAAGCTTGTTAGTTCATTTAAAATTAAATAAAGTGATTAAATTAGCTAGCTTGTTAGCTAAAAGTTTCATCGCCAAAAAAATGAAAACATTTGGTTCAAACAGAGGAACTTGGTGTCTTGGTGTCAATTTGACAACTCCGTCCCTAATTTAGTTATGGTCTAAATCAATTTAGTTCTGAACTAGGAGCGGGTGGAACGATCATATATGGCTCGGTTTTAGGCTTTTTTCGCTCTAGCAAAACCAGTTTACTGGCCCAACTTTAGCGTAATCAATGCAGTGATGTTATCATAAGGGTCAACATGATGAATGGCCCCATGCACAATATTTGTAGGGTATAACCATAGCGGCTTTTGAAAAGATGCACGAAGACATAAAAATACACACATATATAGGGGTAGTTTGAATAACTAATTTTAGGACCACTCTCTAGAACAATGAAGAGAGGCAGGCCTATTAAAATTGAGCTAAGAAAGTCAATAGCCGCTCTTAGTTGGAGGCCATGAGGTGAATAATAATGTCCCTTTTAGGGTGAAAGTATTCGGTGCCCTCGCTCATCTTCATATAGGTCCTCTCTTGTTCAAGAAAAGGTAGAAGTTTTGAACATAGGACTTTTCCTAAGGCTCAATTTTATAAAACATCACCGATTCCTAAGGCTCAGTTTTATAAAACATGACTGACGTAATCACTGTGTGTTATAGGTTGCCTCAAATACTCAAATCCATATTGCTTTGGGAGTTTTTTTTAGGTTGATTTCTTTTGATCAATGGTCCTACTTACATTAGACTTTGCACAACCAATCATATTAGATGTTTATTTCTACTTGGACTCTTGTTGGGTTTTAGGACATGTGAACTTCTATTCCTATTAGAACTCTTATTCCTTAGACAACAATGAGTTGGGATCCTCAAGGCTATAGAAGAACAGTCTTTCAAGCCAATAAGATGCATCAACCTTCAGAGCACCAATCAAGAAGAGAGAGTTCTTTTGTGGAGCCTATTTGATATTCTTCTCTTTTGTTCCTTTAGTTGAGAGTTGTATTAGGCTTTTGGGGTGTGATTTGGAATTAAGAGATTGAGAGATTCCACTTTGTATTCCTCACAATTAATAAAGCCTTCTCCTCCTTCACCCGTGGACGTATGCTACAAGCCGAACCATGTATATCTTTTGTGTTCGTGTGTTCTTGATATTTTTCGTGCTCTCATGTGATTGATATTAGCGTATCCTGGGGAATTTGTCATGACAAATTGGTATCAGAGCCCCCAGTTATCGATTGGATGAGAGGTTGATGACAACTACTACAAAGTGGGATATCGAGAAGTTTACGGCAACATCAGTTTCAGCCTTTGGTAAGTTAGGATGATCGTCGTGTTGACACAGAGTGGATTGAAGAAGGTTTTGTTTGGGAAGTCAAAGAAATCGTCTACTATGACGGAGGAAGATTGGAACGAGTTGGATGATAGCGCTCTCACAGCGATCCGGTTATGTTTGACAAAAGAAGTGTTGCAAGAACTTCTCACGGAGAAAACAGTCGCTGATTTGTCTTTGACGAATTCGCTCACTAATTACCTCCTCTTAAAGCAGCGTTTGTACACACTTCGGATGTCGGAAGGAATACCCATCAAATCTCATATTAGTGAACTTAATTTTGTGATTACATATTTGAATAAGATTGATGTTAAGATTGATGATGAAGATTAATCCCTATTGTTATTGTGTTTTTTCCTGCCTTCCTACAATCACTTCAGGGATACTATGATTTACGGTCGAGATTATATTGGTATCAAGAACGTTAAAGAAAACTTATTGAATAAGGAGAAGATCAACAAAGAGTTAACCACAAGTGAAAGAGGTGATAAAGCTGATGGCTTGTTTGTTCGAGGAAGATTGGAAGAAATGGGCTTTGGATGTAACAAGTATACGTCAAAGCACAAGAATCTGACATGTAGATATTGTAAGAAGAAAGGACATATTAAGACCGATTGTTACATATTGAAGAACAAAAATAAACAAGAAGAGTATGAAGAAAAATCAAAGAATGACTCCGCTGAAGTTGATATTGTTAAAGATGTGATTTTGTTGGCTATAGATGATATAAATAGGAGCATGAATGATTAGATTTTGGATTTGTGTTGTTCCTATCATATGTGTCCTAATCGGGACTGGTTCACCACTTATGAAGCTATTAATGGTGGAGTTGTTCTTAAAGGGAACAACGTGTCATGCAAGACTGTTGGGAAAAGCACAATTCGGATTAAGATGCATGATGCAGTCATCGGAACTTTGACAGATGCTAGGCACATTCTAGATTTAAGGAAGAATCTCATCTTTTTGGGCACTCTTGATAACATTTGGTGCAATTTTTTAGGTGAAGGTGGAATTCTTAGGATTACAAAAGACTCTCTTATGGTTATGAAAGAAAAGAATATTAGCAGCTTGTATGTTTTGTAGGGTTCTACCATTACTGGCTCGGCTGCAGTTGCATCGTCGATGTCAAAAGTTAATACTACTAGATTATGACATATGAGATTTGGTCATATGAGTGAGCGCGAATTGGCCGAGTTGAGTAAGAAGGATCTTTTATGTGGACAGAGTATATGAAAATTAGGATTCTGCGAGCATTGCATCTTTGGGAAGCAAAAAAAGAGTCAGCTTCAGTACGACAGTGCATCAGACTAAAGGTACTTTGGATTATATCCATTCAGATCTTTGGGGACTTTCTCAAGTTGCCTCGAAGGGTGATAGTTCCAGATATTTGTTGACCTTCATCGATGACTACTCCAGGAAGGTTTGTGTCTATTTTTTGAGACATAAATATGAGGTGTTTGTGACTTTCAAACAGTAAAAGTCTTTGATTAAGAAGTAGACATGGAGGGTGATTAAAAGGCTTAGAACTGATAATGGCATTGAGTTTTGTGAAGGAGAAAATTTAACGAGTTCTGCAAGAAGGAGGGAATCATTAAACATCGTACAGTCTCTCGCACGCCACGACAGAATGGAGTGGCAAAACGTATGAACAGAACCCTATTAGAGAAAACTCGTTGTATGATATTCAATGCAGGTTTAGGCAAGGAATACTGGGTGGAAGCAGTGAATACGACTTGTTACTTAGTGAATCGATTGCCATCTACTGCTATTAGTTGTAAAACTCCAGAGGAGGTTTGGTCCGGTAAGCCTGCGGATTATTCTAATCTTAGAATATTTGGTTGCCCTACATATGTGCATGTTAGTTAAGGGAAACTTGAGCCGCACTCGAAGAAGTACATATTCCTAGGCTATGTATCGGGTGTTAAGGGTTTTAGGTTATGGTGTCCTGATTCGAAGTCTCCTAAGATTATTATTAGCCGTGATGTTACTTTTGATGAATCTGCTATGTTTCACCAGAAACGGTCATTGGTTTTAGTTGTCGATAAGGCGCGCACTACAGGACATAAGGTGGAGTTAGAAATTCGTGATTCGACTCTTTAGCAGGATAAGACTACGGGAGTTCAGCAGTCAGATCTCGTTCAAGTAGATGAAGCACATCAGCAGCTGCAGGAAGAGAGGGAATACACTATTGATAGATATTGGTCTAGACGAGATATCCGACCACAGCAAAGATATGAAGATACGGTAGCTTATGCATTATCGGTTGACAATTTTGTGCCCTTTACCTATTCATGAGCTACTTCAGGTGATGACTTCGCTAATACTTACGGTCGTCGTGTGGACAATTCAGTCAATTTGTTGAGGAGACCTCTTTCAGTTAGCAAGTTCAAGCCGGACTTGGACTTGATCGATACGTGCCACACTCAGATGCCATGCTGGGCTATTGGAGAAGGTGGAGTAAGTTAGCTTATTTTGGAGTGAGAAATCTTCTACGCATTTGAGTCAAGGTGGGGATTTGTTATAGGTTGCCTCAAATACTCAAATCTATATTGCTTTGATAGTTCCTTTTTAGGTTAGTTTGTTTTGATCAAGAGTCCTACTTACATTAGACTTTGCACAACCAATCATATTAGAGGTTTATTTCTATTTGGACTCTTGTTGGGTTTTAGGACATGTGAACTTCTATTCCTATTAATACTTGTATTCCTTAGACATCAATGAGTTGGGATCTTCAAGGCTATATAAGAACAGTCTTTCAAACCAATTAAATGCATCAATCTTCAGTGTACCAATCAAGAAGAGAGGGTTCTTTTGTACCTATTTGATATTCTTCTCTTTTGTTCCTTTAGTTGAGAGTTGTATTAGGCTTTTGGGGTGTGATTTAGGATTGGGAGATTTCACTTTGTATTCCTCATAGTTAATAAAGTTTCTCCTCCTTCGCCCGTGGACGTAGGCTACAAGTCGAACCACGTATATCTTTGTGTTCGTGTGTTCTTGATATTTTTCGTGCTCTCGTGTGATTGATATTAGCTTATCCTGAGGAATTTGTCATAACACTATGATCTAGTAATCAAACATAATAAAAAAGAGTAGTGGTAACAGTGTATAATAGTTACACTACTCTTGTTGTAGTGCAGTTAGCATTTTCCAACCGAAAAGGAACAGTGACAATCTTTATAGGTGATAAATAAATCCCTTTAAATTTACATGATTGAATTAGTGAGGCAACAAAAGCGTGTGATTAAAAAAAACCAAATAGCAAAAACAGCCCCTCAACAGTCCAAAACGAATAAAATCATGCCAATAAATATGTCATTATGTGATCAATCGACCAAATGATAATACAAAAAAATTAAAAATAAAAAAAATAAAAATAAAAAATAGATAAATAAATGAATAAATAAATAATAAATAAAAAGGGATAATGCGTGGTTTTAGATTTGCGGTAGTTCAAATAATGTCATTGGAGCATCTGAGTAAGTTGCAGGTGCTCTTGTGCTCTCGAAGCAAACTATGATTTATAATACGCGAAATCCTATGCACCTTTTAAAGAAATTGAACTTTAAAACATCATAAGCAATTTTTCCAGAAATTAAAATCCACACGTCTTGGCATAAAAAGTATAATAGTATTCCATTATGCATGATAATGGATGCATTGAAGACTGTTTGCCCATAAATAATGAGAGCGGGAAAAAGAATAATCATAACAAATCTCAAAGTTACACCAAACAAAACGAGCAGTGTAACTACATCAGCTTTCATAAAATCAGAATACATTAAATAAACACTTCCACAAAGAATGAAACAAATTTCGACACAATACAGTAGATAACATTTTGTTATCTACATCATTCAGACACAACGCACACCCAAATTTTCTGTAAACACCAAAGTGAACACCAATAAAACCTTCAGTAGCAAATTCACCTACAGCATCTGCAGCTTGCTCAGATGCTCAAGAAGAGAAGTGGCCTTTCTCTTAGCTCGATCTGTACCACTTTTTGAAAGCTCAGTTACAGGTATAATAGCACCAAGCCTGCCGATGCAAGCCAAATTCTCGCTATCTTTTTTGCACAAAGCCAATAAAATTGCTGCTGCATTTTCTTTGTTTCGAGGCTGGCCAGTTCTTAAGAGGTCGATAAGTACAGGAATTGTGTTAGCCTTAGCAATAGCAAGTTTTCCCTCTTGATGGCTCACGAGAACTGACAATATCGTCAATGCTTCATCCACCATTCCACTGCTCGAAGAATCCCTCAACATATTAAGCAACGGCTTAAGAATCCCTGCCTTCAAAGCTCGAATTTTATTTCCCTGATAAATGCATAAATTAAAAAGAGCAGTTGCAGCATCTTTTTTCCCCCTTGTGCTTCCACTATGAAGCAATTCAACTAAAGAATCTATAGCTCCATGTGTGCTTCCAATTGTTATCTTATTCTCATCAATAAGCGATAGGCTAAAAATCGCAGCTGCTGCATTCTCTCTTGCCTCCATGCTACCCTTTTTTAACACCTTGATTACTGGAACTATAGCACCCGCGAGAATTATTAGTTCCTTGTTGTGATCATAAATCGAGAGGTTTAATAAAGAAGTTACTGCATGTTCTTGAGCTTTAGAGTCATCAACTGATAAGAGACTGACTAAAGCTGGAATAGCTCCTGCCTCTGCTATTAGAATTCGGTTATCTGTGCTTCTTTTTGCTAGGGATCGGATTTCAGCAGCAGCAGATCTTCGTTCATCAAGTGACCTACTTGTGAGATTACGAACAAGTGCATTGATTGCAATGCTATCGCCATTAAGATCTTCAAAAGATCCATCGCTCCTTATACGTCCGCTCATTGATCTTCGAGGCTGCTCAATTCTGTTAGCTTCACACCACTGCATGATTAGACTTCGAAGCACATAGTTAGGTGTTAGCGTCAGGTTTTGAAGCTTCTGTTGAGTCTTTGGACAAGTTCGGTTATCGCAGTCTATCCATCGCTGGATGAAGGCTCGCTCATAAGTCTGCAAAATTCATAAATGGATAGTAAATATTCATATTTCTGAGGAAAAGCTTTTCATTTTGATCAGTGGCTAAAAGAGCTTGAATCATTGTTCGGAATGTCTCTCACAAACACCTCAATACGTACATAACCTATCTATTGGATTTAGTAATAGTCCAAAATATTTTTTTCCTATACAATTAAATATAAAAGACATTTGATAGAAACTTAATATATTGCAGTCGGTTAAAATAGAAAATTAATTACCCCAGCAGTTTACAAATTTTTTTATCCTTTGGCTCTCTACCCTTTTAATGTTGAGGAACTAAATTTCAAGAATTCGAGAATTTAATGTTCATATTTCATAAACTGGTCATTTGGTGCAGTTCGGAAAAACGACATCCACGAATCATATCATAAAATTCTACATTAATAAAATAAAGGGAAAGTCACCACATAGGTGTGCTTGTACCTTTGAAAGGGGAATTGAGTTAACGCATAAGAATCCAAACCCTTAGTAACACTGGTTGATGTTCTCCAGATACAAACACAAATTCAGATCCAAACCCATTTTACACTATGCTCCCTGGGTGTACCCGACACGTGTCATACTCGTACCCATACCCAACACTTCTTGGACACTCCTTACATTTATGCATATATTTATTCAGACCTATACTCAATTATACAATGCATGTTTAGTCTAAAACACTCATCCTACACTTGGATATAAATCCTACACTTAATATCCATTTCTGTAACTTGTTGAATAAGGGTTGAGTTTGTTTTAGCCTTAAGAGCTACGATTTAAAAGAGTCGTTTACATATAAACATCAAAACTATAAATATATCCATTGAGTTTAAGTCGTGTCCCTGTACCCTACCTTTTACAAATTTTCCATATCATATAACTATACCTGTAACCACACATGTACGCGGACCCATGTAACTTAGATGATATCTATATGCTAACATCAATAAGGGGGGTGATAAATTACTAATTCTTATGAGCCCATAGTTAGGGAGTCTTATCTACAATATTCCTTCTTTATATCGGACAAGGTTTTGGCATAGCAAGCTCATGTTTACTTGCCGAGTTTTAAGTGTTGGTTGTTACTAAGGGCACACAAATCAAGGTTTAGAGAAAGGTTTTAACTTTTAAGTGTTGTTATATCCGCACCTAGGCTACCCAAACACTTCATCTAGACTCCCATATCCATGTCCAACATTTCCCGTATCCGTGCCCGTGCCGGACACCTCTTGAATATATACATACATTTATTCAAACGTGTACTCAATTTATGTACCACATGCTTTAGTTTCAAAAACTTGTTATACACTTCTTGAACATATATTGTACACTTTACCTCAAATTTATGCAGCTTGTGGGACTTGGGACAGGTTTTGTTACCTAGTTCATAAGTACGATTGTGATGTGTCATATGGATATCTAGTTTAAAAATGAGCCGTTTTCAATTTACAATCTACTCTGTAAAGAAACATAAAAATGGTATAAGGACTTTAGTTTTCATAACAGGTGAATGAAAAACAGATCTCATATAGATTACTAATGTTAATATGTATATATATAGCCGTCTCCCCGTATCCTAACTTTTACAATTTTACCATGTCCCGTATCCGCACCCCTATCCGTGTCCGCACCCGCACCTGTAGCCGTGCAACATAGATCCGTACCAATCAAAGTTTAGGGGGTATTATCCACAATTAGCCCTTAAAATATTAACTTTAGTCTGACAAACTACAAAAAGTGAAGGGCATATATACAAAGAAACTATGAAAAGTATAGCAATAGTATACCTGTCCAGTGGAAACAATAACAGGGTCTCTCATCAGCTCCAGTGATATTGGGCAACGGAAATCTTCTGGGATCACCGGCACATCAGGTTTCTTAACTTCCTCAACTGCCAGTGCAGTTTTGGTTGACACACTCTCACCTGCATTTGTATCCTTCTTAAGAATTTCCATCAAATTGACAGTCATTTTCTGAGCATCGCGCTTAGACTTCCCATTCACTTCTGCAACCAGTATAACTATTTCTTCAAATCCACTGTCACCAGCATCATCATTGTCAGTGTCTTCAATCTTTACTGCTTTAGATCTGGTTAATGTTCTTTTGAGTTCCTTAGCCTGTTTGCGATTCAGTATTCGATAGAGTTCTTGAAAGACTTTCAGGTTTGGTGTTCCACTTTTTTCAGTAGCTCTTCTCAACTGCGTACGCACCAGCTCAACCTAAAACCATTATGTTAGCAATGAATCCTGAAATGAAACTCAAAATAGAACTCTTGATCACAGAAGAACACGATCTTTATCCAATACCTGTTCTTGAACTTCATCCGATACCACAAAATAATCATATGGAATGTCTCCTAGGACCTTCTCTAACTGCCATGTCACATAATGGAACTGCACAACAACATTTTTGCCTGCAATGTTCTAGATTAAGAAACAAAAGGTTTGAATTAATAATACTAACAAGGTCGATGTGATGGCGGGTGACAAGGCGGAGAAAACTTATAATTTCACTGTTTTTTTGCTAATGTGATAGGTCAAATTTGGACTTTCACTAATTTTTTGCTTATTCAGCGGTGATTGACAGGTTAAATATAGATTTTCACTAATTTTTTTGCTGATTTAGAAGTAACTGACAAGGTCAAATTTGGACTTGCACTATTTTTTTCTGATGTGGCAGTGACATGGCAGAGCCACGTCACCACCACATCAGCAATATTTAATAGAAGTTTGTAAAATGACCTAGACTGATAACGGAGGTAATGTTTGGGACCCCCAATCGATGACTTCCAAACATTAAGGATCCCAATAATATTTGACCGATATATCAGAGCCTCCATTGAAGTTTTGCCATCGATATAGATAAGAACTAAAACGGGATTCAGAACCCTGAAATTGTAGGATTGACAGTTCATGGCTCAGAACAGGGTTTTATTGTGCGTTGGAGAGACTGGCGGTCGACCGTGGGATTCTGGCGGTCGACCGCGTTCGTGCACAAGGCCTATTGGGCGTCTGGACCTGTGGCGGTCGACCGCGGTGGTTGACCGCAAAAGTTGCTGTTCGTCGCAGTCGACCGCGATGGATCGCGGTCGACCGCCACGGTCGACCGCCTTAGCGGTTTTGGGCTGGGTCTGTTTTCCAGACCCGTTTCGTTTGGGTTTTCTATAAATACCTAAACTCAATTCTAGGGTTTGTAAGCAAGGGGTTTTGAGCAGATTGAGAGGGTTTTCTTTGGGCTTCTATTCTAGGAGCAATTGGTGAGATCAAGAGTTGATTTATTGAGGGTTTATGAGAGATTTGTAATCCTAGTTGTATCCCCTTGATTTCTAATAGTAAAAACTTCCCCCTCCTTGCCCCGTGGACGTAAGCATCTCGCCGAACCACGTTAAAACTGGTGTTATTGTGTTTGTGCTATTGTTTTGTTTGTGTTGGTTTGTCTCTTCCGACGGTTGGTTTGGTTTCTCGAGGCACAACAAGTAGTATCAGAACGCCGGGCAACGCTTGGGCTTTTTGGAGGTGTAGATCAGTTGGGAAGTTTATCTAGAGCTTCGATTGGTGATAAAGGTGGGATCTTTGTGGTAAAGTTTCTATCTTTTTCAAGTTGGATCTATTTCTTGTTTGTTCCGCAATAGTTTGGGTGCTTTGAGATATATGGCCGGAAAAGATAAAAATAGGGAGAGTTCTTCTAGTGTGAAGGCCGTCCAAAATTTGAATATACATTCTATGAAAATAGATGTGAAAAAGTTCAACGGCACAAATAATTTTGGACTTTGGCGATGCGAAGTCATGGATGCGCTAAATGCGCAAAATTTAAAAGATACGTTGGAGTTGGACGGAAAACCGACCGACATTGATGATAAGGTTTGGAATAAAATAAATAGAACGACGTGTGGTGTGATTAGGTCTTGCCTCACTCAAGACCTAAAATATGATGTGATGAATGAGACTTCGGTAAAAAAAATTTGGGAGATCCTAGAGGGCAAGTATTTGGGAAGCTTTATCGCTTCCAATTGAAGAAGAGGACATCCATTAGTGATCACATGAACCACTACACGAAGCTACTTGCAGATTTGGCGAATGTAGATGTCATTGTTGAAGACGAGGACAAGGCATTGTTGTTATTGAGTTTCTTGCCCAACGAGGAATATGAGACATTCGTCATCACTCTTATTAATAAGAAGGCATCTCTTTCGTATAGTGAGGTCACTGCGACTCTTGTGAATTATCAACTTCGTAAGAAGGACAGGGAGACTTTCATTGAGCCGATAGCGGGGGCATTGATTGCAAGAGCTAGAAATCCAAACCGTGGTAGAAGGTCACAGTCTAGAGGGGGGCATCCTACAGTTGGTAGGAATCAGTGTGCCTTTTGTAGAGAGGATGGATATTAAAAAACCGAATGCCCAAAATTGCAAGCCGGGAAGAATAAGGGGAAAACTATTCAAACTTCAGAGGTGAATGTTACCAAGGCTAGTGGCGACATTTCAGATTCAGATTCTTCGGGCTATTCGTGCCCAGCTCTTCCGTCAGTTGGTGTTGCCGATTCCACCGAGTGGATGTTGGATTCGGGTGCTACTTATCACATATGTCCTAGGAGGGATTTGTTCTCCAGCTTTCAGGAGTTGGAAAGAGGGGATGTTGTTCTTATGGAGAATGATCACAGATGTCCTATTGGTGGTATTGGTACCGTTCGGATTCGGAGGAGTGACGGGATGGTTCAGGAGTTGGTTGATGTGAGGTTTGTTCCTCAACTGAGGAAGAACATTATTTTACTTGGGGTATTAGAGGTAGCAGGCTATAGGGTGATCTTGACGGATTCTCGCTTGAAGGTCACATCGGGGTCCATGATTATGATGAAGGACGTCAGGAGAAGTAATTTATATTATCTGCTTGGGAGCACGGTGATTGATAGAGCGCTGGCGACTTCTTTGGCTAGACTATGACATTGGTTAGTGCTGGGATATATTATTGGTTATGTCGTGCATAGGTCGTTGATGAGTGCTATGACCTGCAGATTGAAGTCCTGTAAGCACATTGGGATGAGCGAGAAGATCGAGGTGGAGTTCAGCACTTCTATCAATCGATCGAGGGGTCTTATTGGAGGTGTTCAGTCAGGTATTGGGGGGCCTTCCGAGGAGGCATCATCGGGATGTAATGGTTATTTCGTTTCCTATGTTGGGGATTGTACTAGGTATTTATGGATTGTAACAAAGTCCCGTTGGTATGAAGCCCTAGTAGTCTGTAACAGTTAGAGAAGGTGTATGGACAGAAAGGTTACCCGTCGTACTAGTTCTAGTATGGGTCCTTTCTTGCATTGGTGCCGAGCTCATGATAGTTGGAGACACTTCAGAGGAGAGGAGACAGTGGGGCGACGTGATGAGATGGCGGATTTAAAGGGACGTTCTTTTCTGGAGGAAGATCGACATTGGTCGTCGAGCAGTGAATTTGGTATTCAGACTTCGACAGGTTTGGGCCATCTTATGATGTTGTCGACTGTTGCGTTAAATATTGTTAGATCTGGTGGAGCTGCTTCAGATTTTGGCTGGCGTCGGATATTGGGCTACCCAGCACGTGGTCACATCGTAGATGTGAGATTGGATCCGATTGCGCATTTGGGATTCAGAGGCTCTTTTGGCTATCAGTTGAGGGCTTCTGAGTTTGGTCTGAGCGGGTATGTTACTTTGGACTCTCGACAGGTAGAGAGTATTGATCAGGTCAGTGGGATATCACAGCGGGTGGAGGTTGATGCTATTTCACATTGGGTAGGGCTTACTCCACATACTCCAGGTCATTTTGCATTAGTTGGGATTCCGACTGAGGTGACATAGTTTGGGGATCAGATTGTTCAGGATGCGGATGACGAGTTGATAGATCCGTATGCAGCTGGTGGATATAGCTTGGATATGACCATTGGTTCACCTCAGGTGGAGGTGTTTGGATCATTTCAGTATGGGGCCGTTAGTGATGCTATCAGTCGTACATTGGATGTTGGTATTGGTGAAGAGTTGAGGACTCTTCTTTTGGATTGAGGGCCGTTGGAGGCCATTTGGTGAACTACGTGAAGGCTTGATTCCTTGGAGAGGATACGTAGACAGTCAGTTTTGATGCAGCCGATTTGGTGAGTAGACACAGTTGGTTTGGGGTGAGTGTTCGCACTGCCGTTTGGGTCTCAGCATGTTGTGGATGGGGTCTGTTGTCATGAGTCCGTTGCCATGACGTACTGGATGTAACAAGTGAGGCATTGGTTTGGTTGGTATCGGCTCAGTTTGGTAGAATCTTCGCCGAGGTGGAGATTTGTAGGATTGACAGTTGATGGCTCAGAACAGGGTTTTATTATGCGTTGGAGAGACTGGCGGTCGATCGCGGGATTCTGGCGGTCGACCGCGTTCGTGCACAAGGCTTATTGGGCGTCTGGACCTGTGGCGGTCGACCATAGAAGTTTCTGGACCTTGGAGCCGTCCTGGGATTGAGGGCGGTCGACCGCGATGGATCGCGGTCGACCCCCACGGTCGACCGCTGTAGCGGTTTTGGGCTGGGTCTGTTTTCCAGACCCGTTTCGTTTGGATTTTCTATAAATACCTAAACTCGATTCTAGGGTTTGTAAACAAGGGGTTTTGAGCAGATTGAGAGGGTTTTCTTTGGGCTTCTATTCTAGGAGCAATTGGTGAGATCAAGAGCAGATTGAGAGGGTTTTCTTTGGGCTTCTATTCTAGGAGCAATTGGTGAGATCAAGAGTTGATTTGTTGAGGGTTTATGAGGAGCAATTGGTGAGATCAAGAGTTGATTTGTTGAGGGTTTATGAGAGATTTGTAACCCTAGTTGTATCACCTTGATTTCTAATAGTGAAAACTCTCCCCCTCCTTGCCCCGTAGACGTAGGTATCTCGCCGAACCACGTTAAAACTGATGTTATTGTGTTTGTGATATTGTTTTGGTTGTGTTGGTTTGTCTCTTCCGACGGTTGGTTTGGTTTCTCGAGGCACAACAGAAATCCCAGGATCATAAATGCTGTTGTTACAAGGGAGAAAGAATTAGAATGAAATGGAAATCATCTAAAGGTGCCAGATTCAAAATCCAACACCCAAAATTTTCTTCACCTCATCCAATATGCAACATTCATATACCACTTCCACTATCAGAAGTCAACCACCCTTTAATCAGCGTAATCACTATCAACAAGGGTCATACCAAAAAAAAAATCGATGACAGTGCCAATCAAAGACAACATCAACAAAGCGTTCGACGAAATGCCTCAACGAAATATCGAACAATATCAAAATCTACTCACAGTATCCCCATCTCCTTGAGGCCGGCCATTCATCAGAAACCTCTTAATCGCCTCGAGGGCAGCCATCAAATTCCCCAAATAAGAAGTCGGAGACGCCGACGCCGACGATGAAGAAGAGCCCTCATCTCCTCCGCTCACAAACTCCCTGATCTCCTCCACCAAATGCGACAACAACGAGACCTTCCTCGAGAGCCAAATGCACTCGGCCTTAATTGGGCCATCGACGAATTCTCCCGCGCTGGCCGAGACATTGCCAACGAGGTTCAGGATTTCGTCGGCGATGTTTGACGCCATGAGGGGGTTGGGGTCGATGGAGAGAGGGGGGAGAGCGAAGAAGAGGCCGAGAGAAATGTCAACGTCATAGAGAGAGGAGAGAGAGTTGTTGAGGGTTTTCTGGGGGAGAATAAGATGAGGAAATGATGGGAGGGGTTTCAACGAATCTTTGTGGGAATAAAGAAATGGGGAAGAATACAGTTGGATGGGAGGTAAGAGACGAGGATCCACGACGAAGGAGATGAAGAGGGCGGTTGGAGATTAGTTGGATAATATTATGGGATTTTGCTTCTAAACCCAAACTTGTATCTACATTTATTTTTCTAAACCTAAAATACTCCATTGAAGTGTTTTTGAACTCACTTCGTGTATTTTAGCAGTTTGGGATACTATGTTATCTTGATGTGAGTTGCTATATGTTTGTTGAAAAAATTGCAAAGAAAAGAATAAAGAAAATTGATTTGTATTCCTTTGATTCTGATTACAACTTGATTACAAAAGAGGAGAGAACGGATTTGATTCACTCCTTTGTTTAAAACTGGGTTCTTCACAGTGGCGATGGAATGCCTCCTTCGATTGCTCGCGTCGAAATTGCTCTCCGTTGACGATCCGCTGTTTTGCTTCACTGGAACGATATCTTCTCCTCACGATTTGACGTTGTGGAGAACTTGCGTGGCAAGTTTGAGAACTCTGAACGAGTTTAGAAGAACTCTGTAAAAGAGTTGATTTGAACCGAAGATCGGTTAATAAGCCAAGGCTAGAAGAAAGCTCTGGTGGTCGATCTTAGCTGAGGATGAACGTCGATCTCCCTCTTGCTGCCAATTCTTAGATCCGAAAATTCCAGCCAAAAACCCCCGCCTGCCTTCAATGGTCGATTCAAGCCAATAAAAATCCAACCCTGAACTCAGTTGAGTTTACCCATATTTATAGGGAATTAAGGGGTGTAACCGCCCCCTTAATTCTCTCCATAATGGGGTGTAACCGCCCCCAAATCGTGGGAAACGGTTTTAGAACCGTTCAGCTCATGTTGAATGAGTCAAACAATGCCCACGTTGGCGTTCAGGATCCTAACTCCACATTTTAGACTGGAGACGCGGAGTTGGGTATCCGCAGGGCGTAGAAAAACGCGAGGGTATTGGTATTTTGATGGGGATCAGCTATCTATTGTGATTTTTAGACAGCCTACAGAACCCCCTCCAAAGTTTTCGAAAGTTCGCGGTTGACTGGGACGAATTTCCGGAATACTTTGGATCTTAACTCTGATCTTAGAGCTGTTGATTCCTTGTCGTAAAGGAGTCGTTCTCTGCACTTGCTTCGAAGGTATCTTGGTTGAAGGAATTTGCCATGTAGGACCTGTATGAAGGTATGCGTCATAATCCTGCTTCTGGAATGCGGGGGTGAACCCTTGCGTTTTGAATTTGAGACGCGAGGCTGACTTCGGCGTTTTGAATTTGAAACCCGGGTGTGACCTCGGCGTCATGATTTTTGCAACGCGGTTCTGACCTTGGCGTTTTTAAAGTTAGAACCCGGGTGTGACCTCGGCGTCATGATTTTTGCAACGCGGGTCTGACCTCGACGTTTTGACTTGAGACATGGAAGTGGCTTCTCCGTGTATTTTTGACTAAGTCTTTGAGACTTGTCTTTGGCTCATCTGTTTTAAGTCTCGGCTCACATCCATTAAGCTGATGGACCTGCAAACGTGCATAGGATTTTTGGCAAACCCTCAGCCATCAACGGATTTGATAAGCCTTTACCGACTACCGTTTGAGTCGGGCTAGCATATGGATTGTCTAAGTCTGTTCCACATGTAACGTTGTGCTAAGAGAATGAACCCTCTTAGACTTGATGCTATGATTTTGAATACATAGACTTTGTCATTTTTACGGAAAAGGACTAACCGGCGACGCGTGTTAGGCGTAGGCTTATCCCTACTTAGGATTTGGGATAAGGTTCCCCATGCGTGTAAGACATGGATTTTGGTGTTATTAATAACGACCCGCTACGATGTTGAATACGTAGACTTTTGTCCTTTTTACGGTGAAAGACTAACCGGCGACGCGTGTTAGGCGTAGACTTATCCCTACTTAGAATTCGGGATAAAATTCTCCATGCATGTGAGGCATGGATTTTGGCACTACGATGTTGAATACGTAGACTTTTGTCCTTTTTTACGGTGAAAGACTAACCGGCAACGCGTGTTAGG